CAACTGTGAATCGCGGACGGACCGGCCGATAATTATTAGAATTAACATATGCCTAAGGTACAAGGTCAGTACCCTTCAAGGAAATTTGTTTGACGCTGCGGCACCAATGGTCGGTACACCACGAGAAAGTACCACCCGGCGTCGATTTATGGGTACCTGCATTGCAACGGTTATAAATAGAATTATGGCTTAGTATGTGCGGTGGATTGTGGCAGAAACGTTTTGTTTCAACTTTCAATTGTAGGTATCTTAAAAGTATCCGGGGTATTTCGCTATTGAGAAAGAAATCTAAAAACCAAAAAAGTTGAAACCAGTTTCTCGGTGTTTTTTGCTCCTAAAACAAAATTTCTTAACAAACCAAAAATGCGTTAACGTTTCAGGGGGAATATCTTCTCTGTCGTCAAAAGGCAAAAACATTCTAAATATTTAAAAAAAATGTCTATACCTATATGTGGCGCATGCATCTCTCCAAAAAATCCTATATGGGTATTTCGCCACTGCAAGAAAATCTACAAAATAAAATAGTTATTTTTTGTAAACACTTCTGCGTTAATCCAAACGGAAACTACTTGTCAGAAGTTAGGTTTACAGATATACAAATTTGCCTCACGAACAAAAAAATGCTTAACGTTTCGGAAAGTTTATCTCTTTCCCTCATCGGAAGCAAAAAAATACAAAGAATAAAGAAAAAAACTATTTAAAATATTTAAATTCAACTATTCGAGAACACTTTAATTTTTTAAAACAGATACGTCTACAAAAAACCGTTGACGTTCTGTTAAAATGACATTATATATCAAGTTAAACTTCAAAATTAACAATTACTACCTGAAAACAATTACTTAATAGGGTAAAACCAAAAAGCCCCAAACTTTCTATATGATTATTTTTAATTTTTACGTATGTTATGTTTATTTATGTTATGTTCTTTAAAATCCAAAGAAACAATTGCCATACATTACTAACATCTACAGATACATGAACAATACATTTATTTTTATTAGATTGTATTAAAAAAGCCTCTTTTATTTTTCTTTTAGAGGTTATCGCTTCTTTCATTATAATTTTGGCGTTATTAAAATTTATTCTGTGCCCTGTGTCCCATGAATGCTGACAAATCTTAGATTTGTGAAAATCTCCCTTTCTTAAATAATTTTTATGTTCTTTAATTCGAACAGTTAAGGGTCTAGATCATAGAAATACCCATATAGGATTTTTTGGAAAGATTCTAAATATTACTGGGAGGGGGAGGGGGGGAGTAGTTTTTAACAGATAGGTCTATTAAAACCGTTGACGTTCTGAATGTTCTGATAAAATGCCACGACGGCCAGCGGCTGGCACCTTGGTTAGCTATTCAATTATTCTCGAAATTGGCTGAAAAAAATTCTGATAACTTCAGCGTTGTGTGGCAGTACCTCATCTTGCTTAAAAAATATGTTTTTATCGAAGAAGACTCGAACAAAATATCTAGTGTGCTGAAAAGATAATTTTAAGTTCTTTCCAGTTAATTAAAAATATACAGGGTATCCCAAATAAAAAATAAATTTTTCTCATAATAACTCCTAAATTAAAAACACATTACTGATTGAAGAAATTATCAATACAGTTAACATGCATTTTTGACAAAGAAAAAACTTAAATTTGTTTTTCTTGGATGAAAACGAAAACATAAATGTAGTAGAAGTTGCAAATATTGAAATGTATGTCTGTAAATAAAATTAAATATTTTCTTAGTGATAACAAATACATATACAGTGTTTGTCAATCGAAAAAAGAATTATAATATTTTAGTTTCTTGTTACTACTGCAAGTCTGTCCATTCCCTGGCAAACCGAAAATATACGCCTAAATTTATAATAGCTAAAGATAGAAAATCCAAATTGTCTATTTCTATTTATGTTGTCGCATCAACACAAATTTTAAAAATAATTTCTCTAAATTAAGATCATCAACGTGTCCGCGACTGTAGAACAGACGATATATTTAAATATAACTATGTTTTTAAAAAAAATCCTCCCATCGCACATAATATCTGTAAAGGCGGGAGGTAAAACAATGTAAACAGTAACTTGTCAAAGCTTTAAATTTCAGACATTGTTTACTGAATATCAAATTTTAGATGAGAATGTTTTGTGGTTATAAACATAATTAATTAAAAAATAAATTTGATGTGACATTTTTTCATTAAATGTTTTGTTTTTCTTATCAAATTGTTTTTCAAAAAATAATGATGTTAAATTGTTTCAATTAAATCAGAACTCTAGTCACAACACAAATTTTTGCCACTTTCTTCTTGATAACATTGTTGCCGCTATAACAGAACCATATTCAGTAGTATTTATCAATCAGTACTTAGGAACTATAAAACTATTGTTCCAGAATGTATTTCCACATTTCCACTATCAAAACTACTTCAGAATAAAAAAAATACTCGCCTTCTATACATTCTATAGTTACTTAATAGGGGACAACCAAAAAGCTTTAAACTTTCTGTAATATTATGATAATTTTTAGTTTGTCTATAATTTTTACTTATGTTATGTTTATTAAAATCAAAGAATCAATATCCATACATTTTTACCCTCTATAGATGCCCGAGCTATACTTTTATTTATATTAGATTTGGATTTAAAAAACCTCTTACTTTTATTTTACAGCTTATGAGTTCTCTCATTATAACGTTTGTCCTGTGTCCCATGAATGCTGACAAATCTTCCTTTTTTAAATAATCCTTAAATTCTTTAATTATTAGAACATTTAATGGTCTAGATGTTTCACCAATAGATATAAAATTTATCACATTCACATAGTGTTTTGTACATCACATTTTTTGTTTATTGTTCATTGGTTTAGTATGAGGGTATTTTGGGTTCTGAAGAACGTTCTTATGTTTGGTTTGGTTTATGTTGTATTGTTTTCCTATCCTTCGTATTTTTTCTGAAATGCCTTGGATATGTATAGAATTGTAAGTTGTATATATTTTTATTGTCTGGTTTGTGTGTATTCTGGCCTATGGTTTGTGGTTTCTTTTTCGTTGAATGTTTTGTCAGTAAAAGATGAGGACAACCCTGAGTCGCATTCGCATTGCCTACTCCTTTTGAAATTAGGGTGGTAAACTGGGTATAGAAGTAGTCGGATGGCTATATAGAAATATTAGAAACTTATCCAGTAGGTAACTCTTAATTTCCAATTATAGTTTTTGGGAAAAAGTTTCATTTTTACAGCAGTAAATATTTAATGTTTGTACAGGGTGGGCCAAATTCGACGCTTTTAAATGGAAGTACCATTTTCTATAGGAGATAGACAAAAACTAATATCGGTGTCTGAGCTGAATTTTTGTCAAAAATATGATGGTGAAAACCGCATATCGATATCTGTTACCGTTTCGGAGTTACGGGGTGTTTTTCAAAAATATGCATTTTTAACAAATCGTTTTAACTTTTTTGCTATGGAAAATTTTGTATTTTTATGAAAACATTTGTCGTGATCCTGGATTGGACCACCGTCGTCACCAATCTTGTAGTCGCTGCCACCAAATGTTGTAGTTCTCTATTTGACTCGTATCACCACTTGTTGGGAATGTTATTCTTTATTTTTTTTATAATTAAATTCTTACTAAGTTGTTATTACTTTTTATTTTTAAACTTTTAATACATTACCTTTCCAAAAATATAACAAACTTGATATTTTGCTCGATTCCTCTTCGAGATATAGAGTATATAACAATTCGGCCGCTTTAAATAAGTAGGCTTTGAACGCCACCGGCTGTAATGCAAAAAATTCTAGCTGTGAGCATCAATTAAAACGAAAATAATATTTGCTATGGGAGATGCAGAATTTTATAACAATTTAAAATATATTTAACCAACATCAACACATTTAAACTATATCTAATAACAATCAAAATAAATAGCAAACCAAGACATGAGATTTTGCTCGACATATTGACCGTCTTCTGTTATGGACAGACGGGGCAGTTTTAGAACATTTCTCGCGGAATTAACGCATTAACTCAGTGGGGGTGAAAGATACCCTCTCATAACTGCTAAGTATTTCTAATTCTTGTCTAGATTATACGAAAGAATCTTCTTAAGGTGCCGTGCAGATTCCTGCGTAGGCGTTCATCTTTTTCTTCCTCATCAGATTGTTCTATTAACTGCAGCGACTTGGAGTGCTTGGAAGTCCTGTATTTCTCAGCCAGGATAGCTTCCTTCGGCCTATTCCCCTTTTGCCCCCTTCTATTTTACCTTGGAGAATCAGACGCTGAAAGCGATAGCGTTCTCCACGTAGTATGTGTCCCAAATAGGCTATTTTCCTCTTCTTGATAATTTTGAAGAGTTCACGTTGCTCCAGACCAGCTCCTCTAAGAATGTCTTCATTCCTCACACGGTCGACCCAGGGTACTCTTAGCATTCGTCGTAGGGTCCAAATACGGAAGAATAAAGAACCTTTATTCTTCCGCAAATATATCCATAAGATTAGATCCATGGGCACTAAGTCAGGCGGCCTCGACGGCCAACGGCTGGGATCTTGGTTGGCTATTCAATTATTCTTGAAATTGGCTGCAAAAATTTGCTGATAACATCAGCGTTCAGAGGCGGTGCGTCGTCTTGCTGGAAAAATATGTTTTCGAGTTCCATTAAGGGCATATCATCAATAAGGGGTCCAAAGCCTACTAGTTAAAAGTGGCGAACTTTTAAAAATTCTGTATTTCGAAGGGGATTATAATAAAATATCAAGTGTGCTATATTTTTGGAAAGGTAATTTTAAATTCTTTTCAGCTAATTAAAAATATAGAGGGTGTCCCAAATAAAAAATCAATTTGTCTGTTGATAGCTCTTAAATTATTAATTTAAAAAAATATATAAGGTAAAGCCGCCAGTAATCGACACTATTAGACTGTCTTATGGGATTTTAATGTATTTTTGGGATCCCCAGTAACCGACACTAATTATCCAGTTATCAACACCCCAGTAATCGACATAAAAAAAACATTTAAACAACTTTATTTACATATTTTATTGTCGTCAATCGGTAGGCTACTAAAATGCTAGCTAATATGACTGTATTATACAATCTAATCAGATATAACATATAATAACAAGTGCATTAACAACGGCAGTTTAATTATTACTTTCTACATTTTAATCATTTACATTCAAAAACGTTAACACTTTTTGGAAAAACATACTTAAGCCTATCCCCAAAATTCAGAACTTGAGGTTCAGGTAATTTTTGTAAAATGTCTTCTTCTTTTATAACCGACACATCATTATCAACCATTTTATAAATCATTTTATTTTCATCAAGGCATTTTAAAGAAGTTACCTCAATCTCGCTTTCATCAAATATGTTTTGTACAACACAAACATATCTATATTGGGTGGTTTTTCGATTTCCCCCCAAAAATTTTACTAGCAAAAAATCACCAATCTTATAGTCCTTTATTTTAATTTCTTCATCATGTTCTTCATTTTCAGGTGCCCCAATTTCTGAAACATCATCCAAACTGTCACTACTCTCTTGCCACTCCATATCTGTGTCACTTAAGTCAGAAGATATTCTCCTTCGTTTTTCTGCACGTTTCTTCTGTAACCGAAGTTTTGTATTTTTTTTAGCTTGTCGGATCTTGGCTCTGTTTTCCTTTTCTTCTTGTTTTTTTTGTTTTTCTATTTCTTTTCCCTTATGGTAATCCTGCCAAGCTTGTGAAGTTATGGCTGATGGTATTTTTTCCTTACTCCTTCGCTTTTTTTCAGTTTTTAGCTCTGTTGGCCAAAATAGAGCCTTTTTAAAAGGAGTTGGAACATTTTCCTTAAATTTTGTAAACGGTGTATAAGGAGAACCATTACTACAACCCGGTTTTTCGATTTGGGGTGTTTCGTTTTCTTCTATAACACTTGAGATAGTAGCAGAGTCTTTACTTAAACTAAGGCTATTTTCTTTAATAGGAGTGTGACTGTTTATTTCTTGTGCCATTAAAGATGTAGAAGGTTTCAGTATTTGGACCGAATGGATTATTACTTTATCCTTTCCAGGTTCTTGTTTTTTGGATTGTTCCTTGGGTCTATCAGCGCCAGCGTTTTGATTTATTTGTGTTTTTAATGTTTTCCATAACATATACAAGGATGTGTCCTCAGTGTCACCATTCCACTTTTCAATGTCTCTTGATTCTTTAAAAATATTAAGTTTGCCTCTAGGAATTAACTCTTCCAAAATTTGTAATTTTTGTTTTAGTTTAACATTATCAAAATCAAAATTTTCAGTTGCCTCAGTGGAAGACATTTTGGAAAAATTTACATTATCTGCAGAAAAATGAACAAGGCCACAAGCTTTAAAGCCATTTTGTATTGTTTCTTTAGACACTGATCTTAGGGCTGATTCAAAAATCATTGAGAAGTGTTCTTTTCTAAGTTTTGCCACATCATTGTCAATGTGAAATTGTCTTACAGCTTTTTTCCAGTAAGTCTTTAATGGCTTAAAAACCGCAACATCCATTGGTTGGATGAGATGAGTGGAATTTGGATAAAGGGCTATGATCTCAATCTGATTCTGCTTACAATACTGGGATAAATTATATGTCATGTGGGAGACATGCCCATCAATAAATAATAGTATTGGTCGTGTAATTGTATTTCTGTCCAGCCAAGGAACAAACACATTTGTGATGTATTCAAAGAAGGTAGACCCGCACATCCAGCCTGTCTCTGACCGACCAAGACCCCATTCTTTATTTACCCCCGCAGCTATGTGGGCCGGTATTCTTTCTTACTTGAAAATAATCATTGGCGGCGCAAAATCTCCCTGTCCATTAGCTGTGACTAACACTGTTAAATTCTCCTTGTCATCATTTGTCCCTGCAATGTAGACCGATTTTGCACCTTTTTTCGCTAAAACTTTTTCCCCCTTAGGCTGGAGGAAAAACGCGCTTTCGTCAGCATTAAACACGCGTGTCGGATCTTTCGTGACGTCTAACAAATTTTCCGAACGTAGATATTCATGTATCTCTTGAAACCATCGTCGAAGTTTTTCTTCGGTAACACTTTCTCTGGCTGGTGTCAAGTTTTGGGCGATCCTAGAAGTAACCTGTGGATTCCGTTTTAAAAAAGACGCAAACCATTTCTTGCCGGGTCTTCCGTCAGTAAATGGTGATTTTCTTTTTTCTTGCTTGATGATTAATTGCACGCTATCCAGGACCTGTTCCTTAGTTACTGGTTGATGCTTCTGTGTCATTAAAAATATCCAATTTACTAGAATTTCTTCTTCCAGGAGACTCAATACGGATGGTGGGCCCATTTTTCGATTAATTGGAGTTCTTCCTGTTTTTTTATCCAGCAGGGTGGTTCTGGGCACCTTAAATGTTTTTGCAGCAGTTGCCACTGGCATGCCTTGCTTAACTGCATTTAGGGCTAAAGACATTTGTTCTTCACTATACTTAAGTTTAGGTGGCATTTTTCTGAAAAAAAAAACAAATCAGAATATCACAAAACAGAACAAAAAAAAATGACGAACACTGGAACTCAAAGAAACGCCACTAATCGTCATCCACTGTCGATTACTGGAGAATCCGCGACACCGCAGACCCAGTTATCGACACCTCCGAAAACTTAGGTTAGAGTTAAAATTTAAAGGAAATTTCCTTAATAACACCTTCTGGCGCATTTAAAATAACATATTGCAAAAAACTACAAGCTTATCTAAAATATTTACGAAAATACATAATTTATTTTAAGTGTCTTACCTTAACAAATTCATTTAGAAAACCGAAAACCTCACGCACGGCAAACAACTCTCTCAATTTTTACGCGCGCTTTTAATAAAGATGGCCGATTTGATGTTGACAGTGTTGCCAGACATACTGAAATTCCTGAGTATATACAGAAAGACGTAAAAATACAAATAGGAGCCTAATTGTTTAACTTTGAATTTAAAAGTGTCGAATACTGGAGCACTGTCGAAGACTGGTGCCTTTACCTTACTTAAACCATTAAATTCTACGTAAAAAGGTGCTTTGGAAATGTTTTCATAGAAATACAAAATTTTACATAGTAAAAAAGTTACAGAGATTTGTTAAAAATGCACATTTTTGAAAAACACCCCGTAACTCCGAAACGGTAACAGATATTGATGTGCGGTTTTCACCATCGTGTTTTTGATGAAAATTGAGCTCCAGACACCGATATTAGTTTTTGTCTATCTCCTATAGAAAAGGGTGTTTCCATTTAAAAGCGTCGAATTTGCCCCACCCTGTACAGCTAGGCTCTAAAAAAGTGACAGTTGTCTGTCATTTTAATTCACAGATATATTGTATTTTTTGTCATTTTGTTGGATGTCTTTTGTGGAAATCTGCCTTGAATCGCTGAATAGACTATATAAAATCAATAAAAATGACCGACAGGGAGAAAAAAAATCAAAACCGAGTTTGGGTTTTGATTAAAGCAAAATAGCTTGAACTTTAGCTGAAAATTAAATAATTTTATTTCGAAATCAGACAAACAAACACAATTTTATTTATATGCACAGATATGATGCGCATACATTATTCAGAATGTAAATAATCTAAATAAAAACCTCGTGACCTATTATATAAATAAATAGTGTACTTTTTGTGAAAAAAAAACATTTGTTTTTATCGGTTTCGTGCCAAGCGCTCGTTAGTAATGAGTTCAGAGATAAATTATAATTTTAATTATTGTTGCTCCCGGGTTGAACAAGTTCCAAGTTTCGTTCGCTGAATAAGTTATAAATTGCATTCGGCGGACCGTTTTCGGATTGTCAAAATATGCACAAATTTCCTGTTAAGATGCATCACTATTCAAAATATAGAAAATTTATTTAAAACACAAAATTAAATAACAAAAATAACAATACAAATTCAGGTATTCAGAAGAGAGACGGGTAGATGCGGTATTTTAAAAGATTCGGGTACGGAGATATTTATGAGTATGAGGCAAAGCATTACGAAACTTACATACTAATAAAAGATAGTCGAGACACAATTACAGCCTTTGATCAAAAATGTCACATAGGGATTGATTCATGCTGGAAGCAAAATGATCGGCATTTAACAGATAATATTTTTATAAGAAATAAAGTGACAACTTTTTTTACAAAACATAAACTAAAACTAACTTTCAACGTAGTTCTCGTCTGCTGATTTCTCTGACGAACTCATACAATCATAACATATTCCATAATTTCTTGAATTTACCAATAAAGTAACGACACTAGACACACATTCCAAATAATACAAAATAATTTCGAATACCTACGGTTACGGTTAGGTTGCAGAAAAAGTAAACTTAGTAAACCAGTTACAATTCCCTCTTTATTCCAATACTCTCCAATACCGAATTATTTGGTTGCATCGTTATGTGTTCGTTATCTACCGACGACGTGGCCGGTTGGCTGTCAGTTCCGCGGATAGGGGTCGATATTAAGCATGATCTACATCCATCAGTACCGACATCGGAGAAAGGTCCGTGGATTAATATAGTACATATTATAGCCTACCCACCAATTCGGTCGCGATCGGACGATATCAACTTTTGACGTTTCTTAAGTCAAAACTGTCATAGTGACACGGTCAAGTTGGCCTTGGTCAAGTTGGCCTTCAATCTATCGACATACCATATTTCATTTAAATCGGACTCTAACTACTACTAGGAATCCTGTCGGAATTTCCTATTCTAGGACTAAATCGGAATTCTTTCGCCATTGATGATGGAGTTTTATAGTGCACGAAACGTCGTCAAAATGTCATGAAAATATCTACATTCCGAGTTTCAGCCCCCTAGAGCCCGAATTACGACGCTCCAAAAACACATCTCAATCTATATATTACCTTACCACTTTTTCGATCGTTACCACTAGCTCGCGTGACGCGTGTCGTGACGCTAGCTCGTGTGTCGCGGTCTTGAGTTTCACTTCAAAAATTCCATATAGATATTTAAATAAATTTTAAGCTTTTTGATATTACCTTATTAGGTAGCTGTCATCAAGTAATAATAGTTAATTTGAAGTTTGGTTTTATGTAATGTTAGGTTATCAGAACCTCGACGGTTATAATAGACATGTCTGCTAAAACACACAAGTGTTCACTAAGTAGTACCTATATAAAGATATTTTAAATAGTTTTTTTTTCTTTATTTCTTTGATTTGATTGACTAGGAGAGATATACCCCCAGAAACATTAAGCACTTTTTGTTAGGTTAGGCAAATTTGTTTTATCAGTAAAAAGCTATTGACAAAATGCCTACCTTAGGCGACAGCAATGTGGTGGGCAACCAAGACCCAGACAGAGAGAAAGGTTTGGTACAATACAGGGGTATCGCAATGGGCCCAAGGCCTCCGAGTGAGGGATCAAAAGAATCCCAAACCCTAGCAACCTAACCTAACCTAACCTAGCTGTCTACCTAGAATTCTAACGCAGCGGCATTTTATAAAAAATTGGTCAAGTGCGAGTCGGACTCGCGTACGTAGGGTTCCGTACCATTCATTATCTATAGAACATTAGACACTATATATTATTATAAACTTTTTTTTCCGATTTAACTGAAATTTTGAATGCGCGTATAAGTAATTTAAAAAAAATGAAGAAACACACTACTAAAAATTGTATTAATCAATAATAAATATGTAAAAAGTAAAAATATGTAAAAATTAAGAAAAGTCGTCTTGACTAGGATTCGAACCTGCCTTACTACGGCTCCAACGTCATAGCAGCGTAAAGTCCTAACGCTTTAACCACGCGGCCACCGAGAACTTGAAAGATTCTATGTAAAATTCTTACTTAAAAGATAATGTTTAGTGAAAGTACTTTTTTATTTATAAACATTTATTTAATTCTGTTTTTAGTATTTTTTCTTATAGCGGCAACATACATTATCTGTAAAAATGTCAACTGTCTAGCTATAACGGTTCATAAGATAGACCTTTGTGACAGACGGACGGACAGCGAAGTTTTAGTAATAGGGTTCCCGTTTTTACTAGTAGTGGGAACTATCGAATGAATACTATCGAAACATTCGATAGTTGCAATTCATTCGAATAATTCAATAGCTAGTAAGAAAACATTCGTCGAAAACTATTCGAATAAAAATTATCGAATAGATGCGTCATCTGCCTTGAAATATTGTATTCTAGTAATTCGGCAGCAAAAACCATTCATTTATAAAATTCATTCATTTATCAAATTCATTTATTCGTCAGGATCGATTTTAATAAAATATAAACTACATACATACATACATACATACAGCCGTTACTCGCTGACGAGTATTCGACACACATAAAGAAAATGGTCACGCAAGGCGTTTTCTTTCATGAGCTTTTCTAAAATATAAACTGGATTTTAGTTGTCGTCCGGCGACGTAGGTTTCTTTCCTAGAAACCCGACAGCGGTCGGTGGCAATGCTATGAAAGAAGCATCTTTTTGATTTTTTGCGGAGTCTAATAAAGATAAGGACACATTATTTTTTTTTATTGAGGTTATTAGGAAAATTATTTTTAATGTTTTTAAGCAAAGACTGGTTTAATAAATAATAATAACACTAATAATTTGTTATACAAAATTTAAAATCATTTAATAATATAAACATTTTTTTTAAGTAGTATCAAAATATAAACAACAAATAGAAGTCAAAAGTATTTATATTAGATCCTATTTAAAAATAATATAGTCTCTAAATGGCAATGTTGGTTTATTAAATAATAATAATTACAGAACTAATTTGTTATATTAACAACAAATTTTAAAATCATGAAATATAAACATTTATTAATTTTCTAAGCATGCAGTGTAATGGAAGGAAAATATAAATAAAAAATTAGAAATCAAAATTATTTATATTAATTTTTATTACTTAATATTACTATTTAAAAATAATATTTACTTTTACTGGCATTTACTTTAAAAAATAAATGAAATATTTCTTCGCAAAAAACTACATGTAAGAGAATTAGCATAAACAAAATACAAACATTGTTAACATTTGTTTTTAAATTGGCACGTGTAAAACTTTCAATTTAATTTTCTCACCCCAAAATTTGAGTTTGATAACCCCATTTACTTAACCACATTACTTAAATATGATGATTAAGTTCAACTAATTCATATTATTAAAACGTCTAAAATACAAATATGTATTTTTAAAATTAATTGGAAGTTCATCTCATCTCTCTTAAAAATTGCTACTTCTCAAAATTTCCCATTAAAAAATGTAATCTAATCTAACCATAATATACATACAAAATTAAATAATTGAAAGATCGGGCTACGGAAAATCAAACAAATTTTCGGAAAAATTTTGACCACTTCGCACACAATCGTCAATTAAAAAAAACTACTATTTTAGTATTTTAAATATTTAATAAATGCAAAAATAGCATAGTATTTACAAGGCGAAGTTATAAAAATTTGGAAGAATTAATAATGCACTGACGCACACAAAAATCAAACGAATACTAAATTTCATTTATCAAAAGCATTCGATAGTCGTGGCTCGTGGCGCAACGATAACCATTTAGTCGCACGGCGAGGTTGTCACATATGCTTTAGTATACAAATGAAAGAATGATTTTATTCGAATAAAACCATTCGATAGTTGAAATCATTCATTCAGTAACCATTCGATAGTCTAATTCATTCAATAGTTCCCATCGCTAGTTTTTACCCTTTGGGTACGGAACCCTAAAAAACAGGTAGTCTTATATAACTAATGCCGAGGACTACATTAAAAGAATTCAGTTGAAAGTAATTTTTTTGGATTCCAATATACCATCTATCTTAACCTATGTCGTCTGCCTTATGATTTCGCTATGGCCTATAGCGGCAAACTAAATATAAAGCTGAATAATTCTAACGGTACTATGAACTTGCCTTTTAATTATACGCCAT